TTAGGGCTTAGGGCTTGAATCTGAAAAGCACTGCCGCCTCCTGGATGATGCGATATTGATTATTGCAGAAGAAGCACACCCACAAGAAAGACAGCGCAGGATCTGCGCCAGTCTTCTTCAGCCAGCCATTTACCGCGCTGACGAAATCCTTCAGCGTATAGCGCCAGCACCAGGAAATGAAGTGGGTGACTCTTCCTGAACTCGGGATGTGGCAAGCAGGACAGAGAACAAAGAAATCTTAGTCACAGCCGCCCCGACCCTCGCCGGCCCGGGGTAAGGGGTCCCCGACATAGACCCCATGAAACGCTATGGTCCTTACTATGGCTACCCCCCAAAAAAAGTACCCCTAATTTGGGAAAACTTCCAAATGGCTTCAAGCCACCGCTGCAGTCGTCATCCAAGGCGTCCACAATGCTGCAGTGAGGCAGGCCATCTCTAGGGCATGTTTTCTGGTAGCCCAAACCTCAGGGGATATCAGAGGGATCTTCTGCGGATATTATAAGGATATTAGAAGGATTTTGTGGGGATATTATAGGGATATTCTAGGGAGATTGTAAGGAAATTTAACAGATACTATAATGGCATTATGGGGATATTGTAAGGATATAAACCTCAGTCGCATTTCTCTGCCCGACCCCGCCACAAACGTCAAAAGTAGTACAACCCGACTCAAATTTTCGGGATGAAAAGAAACAAACATCGGGAGAGCAGACATGCCTTTGACAACAAACTGACTGGACGTGGTTCCGTTCCACTGGGCAAAAGAAGTGATTATATTGGTGTTATATGGGAATACTTAATGGAAAAAATACTATAATGGTATAGAATATGGGGTATATGAAGTAAGCTGGTGGGCCTGTCAGGCCGCACGCCAGAACAGGGCAAATCTCGTAGAAGTTGGGGCTCTCCTTGCCGGTAGCACCTCAGCCAGTTGGAGCTGCGTGGAGCTACTACTTGGAGGGTCAGGGGGACTTAGTAAGTAGGTTAATAACCCCTGTAAGGCATATAACCCCCATTATAATAGCCCCCATGACCCTCCAAGTAGCCCATTGCCGATGTCGCCGCACCCCCTTCCTAGACGAACCCTGAAAGTTTCATGTCTCAAGCTCCCAGGTACGTATTGCCAAGGTTGAAAACTGCTCCACCAAGTATTTGGCAGCCACCCCAAGCGTTGGCGCTTCCGGGGGAAGCTCCGAACAGTTTGGACACAGGTGAATATCATGCTCATTGCAGTGCCAGTGCTTTCCAATTCCAGATGATGCGCAAGTGGCGCATCCTTCGATGCGGAACCGCAATTAAGATAACTCAGTTGACAAGCTCAAGGCCGATGCTGAAAGGCAAGATGAAATGTCGGAACATGTTAAACTAAGAATCGGTATGCCCCTTCATTTGCCAGTGTCATATCATGGCAACCTGCTTGCTCACATTGAGGAGTGCAGATCCACCTGCAAAGCCCACATGCTTGATTTGATGGCCGACGGCCACGCTTGGAAGACAAGGTACTATGATTACAAAAAGTCTTAATGTACACTACGTCACTCTATGACAATATGTAAATGTACAGAACGGATTGTTGCCAGACCATGCAAGTTAACAATTTCGACCTGGAAACAGCGGCTTGTGTTTGACTGACCACGGGCTATGTCCTTGAACACAGGGTTGCTATGGAGTATCATGTATTGGTCGCTTGCGATATTGCTTTTCCTGGGCAATTCATGTCAAAATACTGCTCAAAGCCCTAAATCCCAAGCCCTAAACCGCAAAGAAGCAGAAGTGTGGTCTCACAACAGTCACTCCTCCCGGGTATGACATAGTAGCTTCCATTTCCTTTTCCATTATCCCTATATAACCCAATATATCCCTATATAACCCCCTAAACCCTAAACTTCCTAAACTCCTACACCCTAAACCCCTAAACCCCTACACCCTAAACCCTAAACCCTATATATTATCCCTAAACCCTAAACCCCCTAAACCCTAAACCCTATATATTATCCCTAAACCC